GTCCCAAAATATTGGTCCCTTTTGGGGAATCCAACTTTTTTTTGGTAGTACACTTATTGCACTTTAAAAAAGTTGATTTTCTAAAATTACCCTTTTGATAGTACATTTTTTGGGAATATCAATGTCATAATTGTACTTTTCATATTGTTTATTAATTTAAAAGAAGGGCAAAATAGGAAATTTATATTATTTTTGTACTTAATTTTTGAAGATGGACTAATATTTTAGTACAATAAAAAATAAAATAAGGGACTACTATTTTAGAACAGAAAAAATAATACTAATTAATATTCTCACTCATTTTCATTTTCAAACTGAAGAAGGGCTAGACTTATTAGCGTACCTTTTTATTTTATGATTGATGCGGAGATGTCAATTCGCCATTGACTTCTGACAAGGCAGCAAATAAATGGGGCAGATGAAATAATGTAAAATTAATTTAATGATAGTTGATAAAATTGTTGTTTTAATGCTCGTTTGATAATGATTTTTTTGTTAATTTTTAATTTTTTTAATTTTTTTAACCTGTAACTTTTTGGGGGATGCACCAATAAATCCCAAATTAATAACTTATGCACTGTTTAGTTCTAAAAGTTTTCTTATAGATTGAAAGGTCTCATTACAATGTTAATAACATCAGATACAATGTTAATAACATCAGAGTCATGTTACAAACATTGGATTTCAAACATCTAATGTTCATCAAATTTCAATAATGTTTGAAAATATAGGATGAAAAACATCTAATGTTCATCAGATTTCAATAAATTTTGAAATTATAGAATGAAACATCAGATCATTTACATCATTCACATCATGTTGATGTAAAAATAGGACTAAATGGATAAGAAAACTTTTAGGACTAAATGGTTCAACGTTTAAAAAACTAGGACTTATGGGTAAATTTTCCTAACTTTTTTTAATCGTTTGATATTTTTATTTAACTTTTTGGCTTTGAAATTGTTTATCTTTTTGTCTTTTTACTTATTTTGTTCTTTTGTGATTTTTTTACTTTTTTTTGTTATTTTGTGATTTTTTAGTCCAAAATGAAAACCAAACGACCCCTTAATTTCATTTATTAAAAAAATCAAAAATCAAAAAATAAAAATATGTTTAGTTTATTTAGAGAATTTCTTTTTTGAAATTTTTAAATAAACTAGAAATTATCTAAATCTAAATCTAAATCATTTTAAAATACCGAAAGTGTTTGTCTATTTTTTTTTTCTTCTTAAAATATCCTTATAAATTATTTACCAAAAAGAAAAGAAGCAAATAATCGTGAAACCACCTGCCAAACAGCACATGGGAGTGCTTTCTCTTTTGCTACTACCAATGAATAACATCGGGAACCAATTAAAAAAAAAAAACTGAAAACATTCAACGAAGCATCGTATAAATTATTAAATTATTAAAAAAAAAAACATAATATAAATTATGATTTTTTTTAAGGTCATTGATATTAAAATTTTATAGCATAAAAGACATC